CCAAAACGCTTTTGAAAAAGGACGGCCGACACCCAACACCCTCCAGAGGAACAGAAAGTGGGCCAGCAGGACGCCTACCTAGCGCAGGTGGTGGCTGAGGCGAGGGCAGCAGCGGCTGCCCTTCCTTCTCGCTTGGCTCCGGGTCCCCTTTCTGCTCCACTCTCCGCCCGGCCACAGCAGGGCTGTCTGCGTGAGGGGCAGGGGCAGGGACCGATGGGGTGGCACAAGGGCACCTGCATGCGGGCTGGGGTGTGGGGGCGACTTGGGGCCCGTCTCCCCTCGCTGGGGCCATGGCGGAAGGGCGACCTCCCGGGCCTGCCTGTGAAGGGAGGGAAGAGGGGGCCTGTCCCCCTCGGGGACTGGACCTTGGAGAGCAATCTGACTTTTTACTGTACAGAGGGGTCTGGGGTCCTGGGAATCCCCCTGTGGCCCAGGGGAGGGTGGTGGGACACCCTCCATTCTGGGAGCATGAAACTCGCTCCAGGAGATGCCCCCTGTGGGGGGGGGTGCTAGCCGAAGGGTGGGGCAGGGGAACTCCGAGGCGGCCCTGCCTCACCCCCTCCGGAACAGGCAGTGAGGGAGGGCTGGGTGGGATCTGGAGGGGAGCGCCCTCTGGACCTGCACCCCTCATCTTTCCAAGCGAGTCCTCTGAGCTCCCTAGTGGAGCTCTGACCCCAGCTGAGGGTGGGGTTCCCCCAGGAAGGACAAGGGTGGGGGACAGGCCCCTTCAGCACGGTGCTGATTGACTTGTTTGGGGATGAAGTTCCTTCCCCGGAAGGCCAGGGTGGGATGGGGAGGAAGTTCGGCTGCATCCTTTCTTTCTTTCTGCCCTCTGCTTGGCAGAGTCCAGTTTTGCATGTTGCTTTCTGCTTGGCTGCTGGTGCACAGCTCCGCCCGCCGAGACCTCTTCCGAGGGCTCTCAGAAAACTGGGCTGCTTCGGGGGGCCTGCGGGGGTCCCTGGGCTGGAGGAGAGAAGGGCTGAGTGGCTGACGACGTTTAATTTTTGCTTTTCGGTGGGGCTGGGCTGGGGGATTTTTTTTTCCACGTCTCAAAATTTCTTCTCCCCCTGTTTGAGGAACCTCTTCTTTTCATTTTGTCATTTCTTTTGTCGATCTTATCAGAGGAACCAGGACTGAAGCGGGACAAAAAAGAGGCGATATTGAGAACAGCTGGGGCAGGGCCCTTCTCACTTCCACCTGGCCCTGTGACTGCAGGTGCTGGCCGGGGCCCCTGGAGGGCCCAGCTCCCGCGGAGCCAAGGATACCAACACCACACAGAGCTCCATCCCATTCTGTCTGTCCCTCCTATGGGAATCCTGCCCCCCCCAAGAGACCCTGCCCCCTAGTGCTACAGTCCAGCTGGCCTTCCCGTGGGCATCGTGCCCAGCGGGTAGGACCCCCGTGGCTGGCGCTGGCACAAGCACAGACCTGGGATCTGGCCATGTTTCCAATTGTTTAAGTTTTTGTGTGGGTCCTGGAGGGTGGAGAGGATGCCAGGCTAGAGCTTTTGTCCCCGGAGGGGTTTGGGGAGGAGGGGGGGCGGTTGGTGGCCTAGCTTCTTGCTGAGTTTTCTTTCTGTCTCTTTAGACTTAAAAGCAAAAATTCCCATCTGT